CGCTGCGTGCCCCGGCCCAGGGGAGCCCTCCCCGGGTTGGGTCCCGCGGGGGAGACTGCTCTGGGCCGGGCCCCGCCGCTGTCTCACCGTGTCCCGCTCTTGCAGCACGCGGGGACGGTACGGGGAAGGCGCGAAGCAGGAGAAGTTCAAGTACGCCCTGACCCTGGTGTTCATCCAGTGCGTCATCAACGCCGCCTTCGCCAAGCTCCGTAAGTCGGGTGTCTGGGTGCCCAGGGGCTCCGCTGCTCGGGCACCGCGGCCGCGAGTCGCTACTCGGGGGTTTTTACCCGTCGCGGGCACGGTTGCTGCCGCTTTTACGGCAGAGCATCGGCATTGATCGTCCCTCTCGTCTCCGATGACGTTCTTAAGGTTCTTTGTGATGGCGGTGGCTGTTTGCAGCTCTCCTGACTTTCTTCTTCTTTGTCTTCCTTCCAGTGATCCATTTTTTCGACTCCGTCAAAGTGGATCGCACTCGGAGCTGGCTGTACTCCGCTTGCTCGCTCTCCTATCTGGGCGCTATGGTTTCCAGCAACTCGGCTCTGCAGTTCGTCAGCTACCCGACGCAGGTGGAGCGCGGTGGGCTCTGCGGGGGGCGAGGGGAGACGGCGTTAATGTACAGCTTAGATCTTTGTCCCCTAATGCTCGAGGTACCCCAGGAATGGGCACTGCGCTGAGGCAGCTAACGCTGTGGAAGAATCAGCTGGTGAAATGACACAGAAACTGATTTTTGACATTTATTTTCCTGTAGCTGTGTTTGTGGGGCTGTATCACGGGGTTTCAGTCAGCGCTGGGTATGTAGAGAGAGGTTAAGGGTGCTGAGACAGTTCTGGAAAGGGAATAGCAATCCCTAGAAATTATGGGAATTTGCTAATCGGAAGTTGGTGCTAATGTTGGAGGGCTTGAGACGATTTCTGAAACTTTCACCATTAATTTTGCAGTTGCTCTGTGGTGCAGTTTTTCTTTTTTTGAAGTATCTGGTGTGTTTTATTGGAGGGGTGCATCAGGGTGGTCTGATCCAGAACAGTCGCCCTTGGATTGCCATGATCCGTCTCGCCGCAGGCAGGTGGTGGTATGCGGATAGTTAACACAGCCTTTCTTTTACAGGTCCTAGGCAAATCTTGCAAGCCCATTCCAGGTAAGCAAACTTCATGTTTCTTCTTGTATATTTGTGTGGATTTCTTATGCTCTCAACAAGGACCTCAGCTGTCAAAACAGTGCCTCTCCCCTTCTGTCCGCTGTGCCATGGGAGTGCAAGCGGTGTTTTAGCTGTGTGTTGTTCTGTCAGGCCAAGTTAAAATCCCGTGAGAGGCTTTTAGGAGCAGTTCGTGATGTTCTTCTTTACAGTCATGCTTTTAGGAGTGACTTTGCTGCGGAAGAAGTATCCACCGGCCAAGTATCTCTGCGTCCTCTTGATAGTCGCAGGTGTGGCCCTGTTTCTGTACAAACCTAAAAAGGGAGCTGGGAGCGATGACCATGTCTTTGGCTATGGAGAACTCCTTCTGGTGAGTACTGCCAACGCACAAATAACCCTGGCAGGGGTGAGGAGGCAGTTACAACACAGATAAGGCCGTGTCCTTTGTACTTCAAGCCTACCTAAAGCTGGTGTGGAAACACTTCCGTGGGAGGACATCTGGGTTTGAGGGGTGCACTGGGTTTGAGCTGTGGTATGAGATCAGCGCGTGGGTACACGCGCAGCCCTCTTAGCGTATGTTTTGATGCCACATAACTGCTATTTAATAGGTGATTGGGATGTAAGAAAAGCGGGAGAATGCTCAAGATTTTCCCCATACGGAAGAAATACAGAATGAAGGTTTTCTTTGCTTTCTCTTATCTCTCTCTCTTCTTTTCTCAGCTGCTGTCACTGACCTTGGATGGGCTGACGGGTGTATCTCAGGACCACATGAGAGCTCACTACCAAACGGGTTCCAATCACATGATGCTGAACGTTAATCTATGGTCCACCTTGTTCCTGGGGGCTGGTAAGGAACACCCTGCAAAAACCACAGCCACCACGCCCAGAGACTGCCCTGGGACACCCTGCGGGAGCAGACATTGTGTCAAGCTCCAAAAATGGGCCTAGAACACTTTTTTGCAAATAACGTTGGTGGGGGTTTTTTGTTGGTTGGTTGTATCTTAGAAGTCGGGGTTGTTCCGTGTAGCTCTCCGCATGCCCACTAGAGGACACCGCTTCATGCAGAGTGTAGCTGCCCAACGCTTGCAGGACAGCTTTCTGCTCCCATTAAGGAGTAGTGCTTCTAATTAATTGCTGCGGACTGTTTTGTCAGAATTGGATCTGCAGTTAACCATTGCTTCTTCTCATTAATTAACTAGGAAGGTGATTGTGGGTTTTTTCCCCCCTGCTCTCTTTGGTTTTCGCTGTGTGGTATTTAGTCTTTGCTTTGCTACTGCTGGGTTATGGTGTAAACTGAAATTACACTACATAGGCGGTGGCTACTCGGGCTGCCTCTGGGCTCGTGATTCATGCTTCTCATCTTGATCTTTCTTCCAGGGATACTGTTCACTGGGGAGCTCTGGGAGTTCTTGAGTTTTACGGAACGCTACCCCAGCATCATTTACAATATCCTACTGTTTGGCCTGACGAGTGCGCTGGGTCAGGTAAATTCGCTTTCCTTGTTCTGAAATCTTTGTTGGGATTTGTTTGCATAGTTGGGAGATGCCAAAGTAACGTTGCCTCACTTTCTGTTGCTCTGGTTGTTGCTTGCTTTCTGTACAGGCTACCTTCAGAATAAAATTGTTTTAAGTTTGTATGCAAATAATCAGGATTTGAAATACTTTTGGCTCTAGCTCGATGGCTTTTCATCTGAAAATATGATCTGTGTTGTACTTATTCCAGTCAAAGTGACAAAAGGCATCTATTTGTTTTTTACAGAGTTTTATTTTCATGACTGTGGTATACTTCGGACCTCTGACTTGTTCCATCATCACCACAACCCGCAAGTTCTTCACCATTTTAGCGTCCGTCATTCTATTTGCCAATCCCATCAGTACAATGCAGTGGGTGGGGACAGTCCTGGTGTTCTTGGGTAAGTCTGGGAAGCAAACACTTGAGGTCTTTCCCCTATTAACTTAAATAGAGATGATTTATAGCGAGGGGAGAGCTAATAAAAGATGCTGGTCAAAGACATTTAATTGTGTTAGAACACTTTTGACGGAGGAGCGTGTTAGTAGCCTCACCAGTGCAGGAAAAGAGGAACTTCTAGGAGGAACTTAGCAGATCTAGGCCTGTTTTCCCCCCCGACACACACACGGGGTAAGTCACTGCCTCTGAGTGACCATTGGAAAGTTGGTGCTGTGAAGCTGATTTTTCACAAAGTTCGTTGCGTTGGGTTTGTTTGAAGGAACGTGAAGAATTTTTCTATGCACAGGATTATTTTATCTCTTTGCAGGCCTTGGACTCGATGCCAAATTTGGGAAGGGAGTAAAGAAGACATCGCATTGAGGAAATGGCTGATCTTTGCAGTTGGAATGAACTTTTAATTTATTGTCTTGTACCTCAAAATCTGTTATGAAACTGGACTCAGGATAGGTAATCAGAAGGGGAGTGTTTGGATTTTTTTTTGTTTTAGTTTTTTAATTCTAGATTGTCTTAATAGCATAATACTTCAGTTTTAACTGTAATTAAGTTTTGTTGTTTTTCTGTAATCAAAGCTGCATTACTAGATCCTAGTAGCAGAATGAAATTCTTGCCTTAACAGGAAAAAAAAAAAACAAAACATCATATCTTTATTAAAAGTAACAATGGCCACTTTTCCAGAACTTTAATTTCAATATTCTTGGCTGACCTTGGGGAGAAGCAGCACACCCCTCTCCAAGGAGAGGACTAGCCTTAGAATTATGTTAGTTCTTTGGTGTGGCCTGGAAGGATCCCTGGATTAAATGCCTGTGTTGAAGACAACCCCCTGTTCTGATTGATTGTATGATTTTTCCATAACTGAGTTGGTGGAGCAGCCAGTTGGACATTCTTCCATTAAGATAATATGTGTAAACACAGAGATGCATTATATACTTCAGCTGAGCCCTTCTAAAACAGAAGCAACTCTTGGCATATGTAAAAGTTTACAGGAAACCTGTTTAACCAGTGAGGCCCAAATTAATTCTTTTCATCCCCCCTGCTGGTGAAGAAACAGGACCCTCTGCTGCTCAAACCATGCCAAGGTTGTGTGACAACAGCTTCTAAATGTTGAAAGGGCCCTTGTTAATTAACCACCATCACGGTGAGCTTTCGAACACCCGCTCCTGAGCACAGGCTAGCTCCCCAGTGTTGTATGGGGAGGAGTTGTTATCATAATGATGCCTTCGGAGTTGGAGAGCAAAATTCTCCAAAGAGCAAACTTTACACATGAAAGCATGTTTCTACCAGCTGTCACTTGGTCTCCATCTGTTCTGTGGCTTTGGCCTTTTGCCCCTCCAGATGGGATCTTGATCTCTTTCCTGAGCGGCTGTTGTAAGTCTCTCTTTCTATCCTCTGCTTCCCCCCACACCTCTGGTGTTTCTTACAACTTTTTGGCCTTAGATTAAATGAAAACCAAATCTGTCTTACTATCCTATAGTTCTACTCAAACAACACATTTGTTGGAAAATTAAACCCTAGGCTATTAAACGTTTTTTCTCTGTCACCTTCACCTCTTTGCTAACTTACATTGTCTTAAAGGTCAAGTGATAAGTAGCAAACATGTTCTCAGTAGTAGAGAATCCTAAAGCTTCTCTGACTTAACTCCATGAGTACTGCCTGATGAACACCATGTGCTGGCATCTGCTACTGTGTGGAGATTCTGGCTTCCCTGAAGACAGTTATGCTTCCCGGTGTCTCAAAGGTAATGAATACTATCTCCATTTTATAAAAGAGAGCAGAGAAATTGCATGACTTGTTCATGAACACTGTGGCAGAGATAAGAATTAATTATCTTTTGTGTGATTTAATCATAAAGCTATCTTTTCTCTGTGTTTATAGGACTTGCATTCCTCTGTCTCTTAGCACTATGTTAAATTTAACCAATTCTCAAAACCTGGCAACCAAAAGCAGCAAAAAGATTCTAGGTGAACTCTCTATTAGTTTTGCAGACTTGTTTTCTCTTCGATTAAATTAGTTCTCTAATGTAGGAACAGACCCAGCTCCCCTGTCGCTGTGCAAATACAAACACCTGAAAAATGTATTAGAAATCATTTACTCCCTCAGCCGTCCACTTCCTCATGATAATCTTGGAATTTCTGTTCAAACGTGTTGCCTGTTAAGAATATTTCAGTCATTGCTGTTACAAACCACTACTGTATTCTAGAGTGTGTGCTACAAATCAAAGGGAAATCACTCTATTTTGATTACAAAGAAGCAGAATTGCTTATTAGCAATAATTCCATACTGACTAAGCTTTCTCAAAAGTATGTGGTCAGAAATTGAGGGGACTGAGATCCTTTCTCCACTGTGCTGTCAGTCTGTAATCAGTGATCTCCTTTTAATTTACAGCATTTCAAACCAAACTGCCTATTTTGTGTACATGTTAGGAACACTGCTCTTCCTGAACTCTCCTGCCCCTTTTGCCCCAAGTCTAGGTGTATATCTAGGAGAGACAGTGTCTTAAAAATAAAAGAAGACTTGTTAATTTTTTTTTTCCTTTAACCATTGAAAAGAAGCCACCAGAGTTTCAAGGGAAATTTTGCTCGAACCCACAGGTCTGTCCCCTTCCCCACACTGCAGCAGCCTAGACGACCAGCAGAAAGAATGAAGCTGGGAGCTTCCTAGGGTCTATTTTCTAAGTCAAGATCTGTCTTTACCAATATCTTCAACTTGTCTGTATTCAGGGCAGACTTAAAGATTGGTCTGCCAAGAAGAAAGAAAATAAAGGAGATTTTCTCTCTCCTTATTGCTGCAGGCTCCCTTGACCCACTTTAGCTCTAAAGGCTATTCCTGGTATTGCTCCAGCTTGGTTCTTGCTGCACCTCCGACTCTTAGTCAATAACAATTTCTTAAAACAAAGGCATCTCTTGTACCTACTTTGAGTCTGAGTCCTTTGGATTTCCTTGGACAGCTTGCTGTCTTCTTTCCAGACCTCACGTACTGCGAGATCCCAGAGGAGGCTACAAAACCAATTCAAGAAGCTATTTTCAAATCAGCACTGGCTTTTCTTCTCGGATGGTTTTTAACAACACTGCTACAGAACAGGGCCCCAGCTTTGAGCTGCCGGGAGGACTGCTGTAATACCTCTTCCCGGTGACAGACTGGTTACCACGTTCCGAGAAGCCTGTCTGGTGGCTTTTGGTGTATGTTCCTGCCCGAGTTCAGCTGTCTCTTTAAATAAAGACAGGTAAACTCCAAAGGAACTGGGTTAGGATCCCATAAAGTTTTCATTCTCCATGTTACTTTTTCCTGTTAGAAATGGTAGTTCCTCTTCGAGGCACATTTTGCAGAGGGATAATTTAATAGGTGGTTTTGCTTTTTTTTAAATAAACAGCGCAAGTGTCTTCAGAGGCAATGCTTGAATTTCTGGTGAAGTGTCAGGAAAGGCTTTCTTGTCTTCAAGTAAGAGATTGGTAATGTATAAAGTGTTGACAGAACTTAATCTAGTTTATCTAGATACTGCATAACATCTAGGGTAGGGCTGTGCAAAGGAGTCTTTAACTACTGCTGTCAAGTTACGTTTTGCTTATTCAAAGGAGGAAGTGTTCTGTGGTAGCATGTGCACCTATAAGCAGTTTAGAGGTTTCAAGGAATTAAAGCACAGTGCCCAGGTTCTCTACCAACGATCTGGGCTTCGCCAGTTCTGCTACGACTCAGTGTGTGTGTCTGCTTTTTTCAGACGTTCTCCAGTTTATTACAAGGGTACAAACCTAGTTAAATAAAAAAGACTACCTTGTTCTTTTTAGTCCTGTGTGCTTGATCTGTCTTTATTTCCCCAGCTGTAAGCAAGCAATAGTTTTGTGATAACAACATATTTTCCAAAATGAGAAGATTTTGTAAAGTGTAAAACATCACCTTTTGCAGCCAAGAGTAGGTGCTTTGAACACTTACTGTGTAATGTTTTGCGTTTGGGCTGACTTGCCAAGGAGTTACTAAAGGGAGTGTTTGTGGTTTGCTCCTTCCCTAGCAGATGTGACTGGTGTTTCTCTGAGCAGAAGAGGAAAGGAAATGAGTTGAGTAGGAGATTAATTTATTAAGTGTCTTAGACAAAGCCCTGCAAGTGCAAAACATGAAGGTCAGACTGAGAAGTTATGAAGAGATTCCATCTTCATCTCTTCTACTTTTTGTTGGCTCCACAGTCCTAACCGTGAGTCTGTTTATGACTCAGCTGGTTACCAGCAGGGGGAACTCTCATTTCAATAATTTTCAAGAAATGCAAGGAGAAAAACAACAAAAAAGCTGTTCCTTTTTAATTAGTGATATAACTCTACTTTTAGAGTCTTTGTACTTAGAGTAAAAACATAATGTGGAAATCAAGGTCTTCCTCCATTTTTATTCTGAATTATTCTTTTTGACCATCAGCAGAGACTAATTGAAGCTAAGTCATTAGAAGCTTTAAGACAATCACCATCTCTTCTGTAGAATGGCCTTCATTACAAACAGCATAAGTATGTGCACACCTGCGTGTCCTCTTGTCCTCATGTAACACAAACAGCTGGCTTCCTGCACAGCAGCAGCCACTGGCATCCCAGTCGATGTTTTTGAAAACATTTCTGCCAGAATTCTCCTAGGAACCTTGTCAGTTCTTGGTGATTCCAGGGAGATGAGAAAAGTCATGCATGGACTGAGAATAAACAGCAGATTACATTGCTGCAGTGTTTTTGCCTGTTGTCCCTCCAGGAGGAACTCGATGTATCAGCTAAGAAAGGTGAAGTTTTATTTCGTAGCTGAGATATGGCATCCACAGGGGAGAAAACTTGGCAGCTGCGTTCCTTTTCCTTTCATCTTCCTTGTTTTTACGAGCTCCTTCTGCAACTCCATCAGCAGATGTTTAAAAAAACCCCAATGTTTAGAGAGCGCATAGAATAAGGTAGATGATACTGTATATGCATATCTGGACGTGAGCTGGCAATGTGCACTCGCAGCCCAGAAGGCCAACCGTATCCCGGGCCGCAGGGATATCGGGAGGGGATTCTGCTCCTCTGCCCCGCTCTGGGGAGACCCCCCTGCAGGGCTGCGTCCAGCTCTGGAACCCTCGGCACAGGAGAGACATGGACCTGCTGGAGCGGGGCCAGAGGAGGCCACAGGAATGCTCCGAGAGCTGGAACAGCTCTGCTGGGAGAGCTGGGGTGGTTCAGCCTGGAGAAGAGACGGCTCCAGGGAGACCTTATTGCAGCTGCCAGTATTTAAAGGGGGCTTATAAGAAAGATGGGGACAGAGGTTTTAGCAGGGCCTGTTGCAATAGGACAAGGGGTAACGGTTTTAAACTAAAAGGGGTCAGATTCAGATTAGATACAAGGAAGAAATTTTTCACAATGAGAGTGGTGAACCACTGGCCCAGATTGCCGAGAGATGGCAGATGCCCCGTCCCTGGAAACATCTCGGATCAAGTTGGATGGGGCTCTGAGCAACCTGCTCTAGTTGAAGATGTCCCTGCTCATTGCAGGGGCTTGGACTAGATGGCCTTTAAGGGTCCCTTCCAACCCAAACTATTCTATGATTTTGTAGAGGTGGGTATAATTGTATAACTGACTAATTTTCTGGTCACAGGATAGTAAAGACTCGTGCTCAAATGACAACAGT